TATGTGCTAGTGTCTACCAAACAGAACATGCTGCATTTTAGAGGTCACAGAGAAACCATTATATACGAGACTGAGAAGCATTATTGTCTTTGTAGCAGACACCTAGATTTGGTATTGCTCCAGGAGCTAACCTGAGATGGATTTCCTGCAGCCAACCCTACTATTTGTTTCTTAATTTTCTTTTTATCCCTTGCTGATAGGCAGCATGCCAAGAAGAGTCATCCTTTAAAAACATTGCATCTTTTCCTCTCTTTGAAGCGGGTATTTCATCCCCAGTTCTTTTCTCTGGGAAATGACTCTCTTAGCTTACCGTTACCGTATTGTTCAGTGAGCTAAATGTTCCTGTGTACTTTGAATGTTTATGTCCAGGTCCTACTTCTATTGATCCTGTGGAAAAAAAGGAGGTACTGAGCATTCCAAGGGTCTGACCACTGGGACTCAGCTAATTTGAAGATTAGCAAGGAAGTTTGTTGTAGGCATATGTATGCACTTGATAGGGCCAGCTGTATTCTGAAAGCATCGTTCTTGCCCTTTTATGAGATGGAAAGAGGAATTGCCAAGTTAGTCTCATATTGTGACTTGGCATATTATCTCACATACAAATCGTTAATGCTCACTGTTCAAATTGAGGTAATATTTGAAACTGTAATGGTCCCCTAGATGCTTATTATCACTCTAGCGTTAGAGATTATTGTCACCACTGTACAGATTTTTGAGTCTTTCTAGGCATTGACAAGGAGATCCATAGACCTTAATGCAAATGACCTTCATTGGCAACTGTTAAGCTAACCTTCTGGATGCGGTGCTTAAGTTTTTTAGATGTCTTTTTTTTTACTGTTTCCTGACACATTGCTTAAAAAAAAAAACAAACCAAAAAAACCCAAACCAAACCCAAAAGAACCCCAAAACCAACATTTTGCGATTCTAGTATTCTTTCCACTAAAGATTCTGGTGTATTACAAACTTCTAGCTATATTATTTAAAATTATGCTGAGTTTTATGAATGGAGAAACTTAAACCTAGGTGATTTGACTGCTGATGTTCACACCATGATTCTGTAATAAATTCTGTACTGGAGCCTGGTATTGCTAATACCTAATCTGGTGTGACTTTTAATAATTTGATACTGCACTGTGTGTAGTGACCTAAGTTCCTTGCAGGTGTAAATGAGTGAAGCAATGTTAAGGTCAGCCATTTGACTTGCACTGTGATTCTTGAACTGCATTATCCAGCAGATTTCTAAAATAAAAGCTGATTTACTACCTAAGTGTCATCCAGATTTCAGAGCTTGTGCCAAATAAAATACCGATTCTAGTGTCTCAAATGGCAGGAAAGTATGTATTCCCCCCCCCCAAGATTTTTTTAAGGAAATATACTTTGTCTTTTGAAGATAAAATGTTTAAAAATAAAAGAAGCGTTTGTCTTCAGCAGTTAAGAAAGATAGCAACCACCTACCATCTGTGAGAACACTTACATAAGACTCATAGGCTGTACAGGAGTTCTCCTTTGCCAGTACTGGAACACTGTTTCAATGTAGTTGTCAGATAAATGTCAACCAAAGCCCTGCTTGCAGTGCTGGTGCATATTCTGTTTTGATAATCTATTCTGAAGGTTAAGTAGGAAAAGAATTTTTTTCTAGTTTTCACTTTACTACTCTTAAATATTTTGCTGAATTTTGTGTTAAAAAGGAAAAAAATTAAATCCTTTGGGACTATTGGAAGAGTGGAGTACTTTTATTTTAGTTGCTACAAATAAGATGGTATTATACTTTCCAACACTTTGTAAGTAGAAGTGTTTTTCATACCAGATAGAATGGTGGTTCATACAACTTAATAAACCTTTAGATGTCTTAGTTTCAAGGAAGGGAGTGGAAAGCTTGTATAAATTAGCAAGATTAGCCTTGTATAAAATGGTGCTTTGAGACCTTAATAGCATGGATTCTTTTTTTTTTAAATTGTATTTTTCCTGTACATGTTTTTACCATCGAGTTTCAGTTATGTTTATTAATACACTTTTGTGTATAGGTCTGCTTAAAGTTAGGGGTTACATAGATAATGGTTACCATCTGTAAATGCAGATGGCAAATATGAAATAATTCTTCAAGATTGAGGAGGCTTCAAATAAACGAGAAAGGGGAGGCAAATGTGTTACTTTAATATAAAATATGGTAGTATCATGGTACATTAAATTCTAAATCAGGTAAGTTTCTCACTTTTGCACATGATGACTGGATAAAGTATTTATTGTACAGGGTTTGATTTTAATTAAGGTGAACTAATGCTTTCTCCTACTTTTTTTTTTGTGTTTGAGTTGCCGGTGTCCAAACAATCAGTTATATTAGAAATGTCAGAATGAAATGTGGCTTTTGAAAACTGAAGATAGATGGGAAATGTTCTGCATATCTTAAGTCTGGTTTCATGTGAAGTAAATGCTGCTGGTAGTAACCTCCAGCTGATGATAAAGCAATTGTATGCATTTCTCTAGCAGTTAAAATGAGCGTGGTAAAAAATAGTAGTGGTTTATTATCTCATACATCCAACAGTGTAAAAAGATGTTGTTTACATAGACATGTCTTTTTTTTCTTCTTGTCTATTTCTTTTTTTGTTCGTTCGGAAAGGTATTTATCAAAATGATTTTTATTTAAGTTTCAGAATTATTTTGTCAATCAATAAGGAAAACCTTTGGTTTTAGAGGTTTCCTAATGATCAAGTTTGTGTACCGAATGAAACCATAGTAAAAATTAGGATCTGAGAGTCTCAACCAGCAATATAATCTGTGTTAGAGCAAAGCAGCAAGAGGCAGCAGTCACCGGTTGCAGTAGAAGAAATTCTGTTTGAAGCGGGTGGGGGGCCAGGGCATTCGCAATGAGGTTACCCAGAGGTGGTGGAATCGCCAGCTTTGGAGATTTTCAGAACCTGACAAGACAAATTCTTGAGCAGCTGGTAGCCCTACTCGGGATTGGGGGATGGACTAGATGACCTCCAGAAGGTCCCTTCTAACCTGATTTAGTCAGGTTCAAACCATAGATTAAGCACATTTTGTGTGAGAAGTCACCTTGTTTTGAGTTGTACTGCAATGCTGCAATCAATATCATTTAATACGTTGCATATAATTCTTGCATGCCTTGTTCTTAGTTGAATCTGGACAACAAACCACATTTATGTACATTTCTGAAATGAAAATTAAGAAATGGACATGTAACTAATTTAGCAGTGTGTTGCAGAAGTGATGAAAGTTAAACTGGTTTAATTTAAAACAAGATATTTAGTTATCTGTCATGGGGAAAAGAGTTAGTCAAAGCTAACATGCCCTATAATAAATGTTAAACCTTTAGTACAAGAAGGTACTTCTATTAATTTCATATGGATTTAATGGCATGAACACCGCTAATGTGGTTTAATCTCTTTGAAAAGTGACTCCAAGGCATAACTCATAGCTATTAAATTGTGGATAAAATGCTGTGAATATGAGCAGATAAGCAGCTAAATTTTCACTTAAATTCGGCTCTGAAGAGACTTGCTTGGTTAATAATGTACTTAATTTGTATGGGTGAGTGGGAGTTTGAGGAGAGTGTAATGTCAGGAAATCGAATGAGAGCTGGGTAAATTATGCTTCTAAAAGCTAAGAACAAAGAAAAAAATCTTGCATAACAGTAAGTTAATGTGTCTTCATTTCATGTGAAAGCACCAATTGGTAACTATGGAAAATAATGAAAAACACGCACTTAACCATCATAATTGTTCTATTGAGATATATATCAAGCAGTACTTGCTTATATTTCTTATTTTTTAATTGGCACTTTCAGCAACATGATTCTTTACCCCTTTTTGTAGTGTAGGCCATTCTATGGTGGTCATGATCATTTTTTGTCATCTTGATGTTTTTTAAAATATCGAGTAACACATGAAAGATTTGGGGTGTGGTCATTGAAACACATGTTGCATTTTAATAACTTTAAATACATACCCCAACACACGTGGTATTTATATTCAGCATACCTGAAATTTGAAATCTAAGGTTGAGTATGGGCAGCAGTAGTGTTTCTTAAGAAAAATAACTAAAAATAAACAAACAATTTAACAATAATAAGACATTTCTTTGGTTTTATGGATCTTCATGAATTGTTACTATTTCATATTGTTCGAGTTTCCAAGAATCCAGGGATGGACTTAACTGAAGTCCGTATTGATTTATTGAAATTTTAATGACTTGATAAGAGTTCTGTGAGCTATAAAAAGCCTGTACCGGTAATTCATACTTCTCTCTCTCTCCTCACTGTAGATTAAGTACCACATTAATGATAGAAAGGAAAGAAATAATAAATTGGGACTTCTATTCCAATCTGTAGAGTATTTTACAATAAGTAGCTAGTAAGCAATGAAATCAGTTTGAAAAAAGTCATGGAAGAAAGCCTTCCTTGCTGGAGAGATTAAAGATAAGAACTAGTTCTAATATAGTTCTTTGGTGGTATGAAGTCCTGTGTTAATACCAAAGTTGATTTTTGATCCAAAGGAAAGTTATGCAGTGCTTCAAAATATTAAAAGCCGTTTGTATGTTATCATATATTAATTCAGCATTCTTTAATATAAGCTACTGAAAAAAAACAATGTTTTACTGATAAATGGGCTGTGTGACTTGCTACGAGGTACAGCACAGGAGCTTCCGGACATCCATATTGAGAGTTAACACTGTGTAATTTTTCTGTCAAAGTGAGCAGAGAAACTGTCCTGCTTCTCAGAACCAACTGACTGTTAAATTGGTTGTAAATACATTGCTTGACTATATTTTTGCAAACCCATAATATTTGTGGAAAAATAGTAGATAATGTATATACCATTTTAAAGTTGAATTTTGTGTGCAACGGAACTGACCAAAACCAAACACTGAACAAAAAAAGTAATGTGTCTAAGTGATTATTTTTTTTTCTCTTTATTAGTTTTATCAACTATAGTGTGATTAAGAGACCACTTGCTCTCCCTGTCTCCAGACGATTTACCACAATGGATCACTTGGGGACAGCGGATGCGGAGGACGACGCTGGATCACTAACGCGGCTCGCTCCTAGTCCTCACAGCGAAGCAGTTGCGCATGAGTTTAAGGAACTCTCATTGCAGCCCAATCAGTACTTACCTCCTCTTAATGAACGGAAGAATGGTGAGTGCAAAAGTGACTGTTCTCCTTTTCTCTACATTACTTAAATGTTTTCTATGGGAATAATGATGTTTGTTTGCTTTTTTCAAATAACATGAATTGACTCTTTTCACTTGCTCTTCCCAAACTATGTTATGTAGAGTTAAAGTGCTACAGTGTTTGTTACGAAATCTGTCCTGATCAGCTTCACCTGTCGTGGCAGCCTGTAAGTCTGACTTCAAAACTCCAGCTGGAATACTTTGTCAAGGCATATAGAATGGAGTTGTTTTTCTTTTTAAATAGTTTTAAAACCACAGCTAGTGTATAACAGAAGTGTTCATTACATATTTTTGAGAGCTGGGATAATTACCAAGAACAGGGTTTTTTTCTGCAAAAATAATACAGAATCGGAAGTTTCACATTGTATCCCAGAAAGTTTAATTCACCAGATAGATAGTTTAAGGTTGAACAACGGAAGAAAAATAGGATATACATTTTGGGAATCTTTCCAGTATCTTTCCTTGTTGTTGATGTTGGCATGGCAACTTAGCAAAAAAAGTGTTTCCACTGTTACAGTAAGCATCAGGAAGAATTAGGTCTGAATCCAAATGTAGGCTCGTTTTTATTGGGGAAAAGGCAGGAACCTTTCTTTTTTTTTTCTGTGGTGTTTGTTTTCTCACACGAATATCTTCTAATAATGAAGATTTGTTTTCCAGTATTTGTAGTAAATAGTGGGAACATTGAAAGTATGCAAATGAAGTATTTGGTTTTTGAAGCATTTTTTTAAAATCAGTTTAGCTGTCTGTTGTAATAGTATAAGCATTAAATAAGAAGAAAACTATCTGAATATCCCAGCTTTAAAGCAGAAAAAATGGGGATATATACTACTAGGATGTATGTATATCAAATACCTAGGGATAGGTCCAAGTCATGGTATTCTCTGTTTCAGAAAGACATGGAATAACATAGACATCTATGATGTCTACAAAAGACATCTATAACCAAGATGGTCCTGTTTACACAATGAGGGACTAAGTCTATGGTGCTTTGTGTACATACCCTCAGTATTATATAGCACTCCAAGAAAGAAAAATGTAATAAAGTGAAGGGAGGAGAGGCTTAGGCTTAGCTTATATAAATGTGGAATGGCAACCTCTTTGAATACTTGAGCTTGTCTTTTAAAATTGCTTCCTTATTTTTTTCCATGTATGAAGATCCAGAAATACGGAATACTATGTTAACTGATACAATGTATTCAAAGTATTTTAAACTAAGGGACCTGTAGCTAATTTATTAATATTTTGGCTCTACATCCTTAAGAATTATTTGTGTAAGGCATAAAAAAAAATTGTAAATTGGGAGACATTAGTTTTTGTTGGCTACGATTGGATGTTAAATTGATAATAGTATGTCTATACCAGAAGCTTGTTTTAAGACAGCTTACAACATTTTACCTTTTTATCAAGGAAGCAACAGAAATACATATTTAAAGAAAGCTATTTCATAATGAGGCTAACAATGCCAACACTTAACTCATAAACCTCATTACAAAGAGAATGCAGTGGGGTTTTTTGCATCCTGTCTGTAATTATACTTCTGGAAAATTTGTTCATTTGTCTTTTTTTAATTGCCTGTAAAACCGAAATGGGTGACACAGGTATCTATGTTGAGTCTAAATAAGTCAAACTTTTCATTTCTGAAGGTTGCTACCACAAGAATGCACTAAATTAAACAGAAAAAATCCCTTCTAAAATGGCAAGCTTGTAAATTTCTCTTTTGACAAACCTTGCTATGACTGTGTTAAGTACATATTTATCCCTGTCACTTAATTTCATTGTTTTGTTATCTTCCTGCCCTTACTAATAAAGATAAATTGTCAACCAAGGAGTAAAACCAGGCATGCAGCTTCAGGTGCTAAACTTCCTCATGTTTGCTCTTTAGTCTTTCTTTTTTAGTTCTTCTCTATTGGACTTTGTTCTTTTCTTAGGCATTCTTCCCATAACTTGAAAGTATTTTTGTGGTTTCATGACTTAGTGAAATAAGTTATAGGTAGGTTTTGTATTGTCTTCATATATAATCTGCTGCTTGTTTATTTTCCAAAGAAAAGGCAGCGGGAAGCGATTTTAATGCTTAAGGGCTCTGGCTTGTTGAAATAACAGAGGAGATTTTCATAAATAAAGTGGTGGTGGGGAAATGAATAATTTGAGAAGCTACCTCTCACTCCTCTGTGCCAGTTGACTTAAGAACCATTGCCCTGTTACTCTTCTCTTCATTATTTATTATAATTCCTCTCATGACCTAGGATACTTTCGAGCATTTGTCCATAGTAAGTATCAGGCCTCCCACAAAGATTTTAATGTCTTCTTTGAGGAAGAGATTGTATGAAGTTCGCATAATGGGCTGCGGCCTCACTTCGTCTGTGTCTTTTGTGACAAGACTAAGTCATCTGGCTGGGCCTGGCCAAAAGATTAGGCATTGTTTTCAAGGCCATTATTAGCACAACCCTATTGCTTTTGTAAAGGAAAAGGCTCAACAATCTGCAAGGCAGATTGAGAAATCATATAATTGGAGGAATTTTTGGAGGAATACAGTCTGATAGACATGAAAAAAGTGTTTGATGGACACTGGTGCAATCCCCTATCCTTTTCAGCTTTATAGACCTTTCTAATGTTGCTTAAGCTTCCTGCCACTGAGAGAGTCTGCTTTAGTAGTATTTAGATAATCCCTAAATTAACTTAGGAGGAGCCTCCTAGTTCTTTGCCTGTCCTTATGTGAAAGATCTGACAATATCTGACTTTATACTGGCTAGCTGCTTTTGTTCCTGGAAGATATGAACGTTTGTGCTCAAATTGCTTTCTTAAATCAACGAAAAGAGGTTTGGACACTCTCATCCTCCAGAGCACCCAAACTATTGTTCACTCATAATTTCAGATTTAGTAATTTTGGTTAATTTGGTTAAAAAGGATTTTTTTGTAAAATGATGAAAGTCAGAAGAAAATTTGTAAAAGTAAAATTTGAACTTGATGGTTTCATATTAAAAGTAGCTTTAATACTTAGTCTTTGTTTTTACTTTTTACCAAAACTGGATTTCTTCAGAAATATTTTAACATGTCACTGTTTTATAAAGTCTGTAAGCATAAGAGATTTTAGTACACAGAAATACAGTGGCACTTAATACCAAAAAATCTGAAGCATAGAAGTTCTTTTTGTTCAATGTTTTTATGCAGTAAGCATTAGTCTTACTGTTAGCTTTGGTAGTGATCCTTTAAACCTTTTGTTTACTTGAATGAGTCTTTTGGCAGTAGTCCAGTAGAAGGCTGAATTGTTCTAGTATTGTTCTGCATAGTGCTGTTAAGCTGGCTTGCACAAGTTAGTACAGAAACTGCATTTCAAGCTTTTCCAATGACACTAGAAGTGTGGGAGGCTTAGGCTTTGGTTTGGTTTTGTTTTACACGGAGTCACAGCAGGGTAACAGAAACGTACAATGAAATTGCACGTGCATGCCTGGCGAGCCAACAGTCGAGATGTTACTGCTTCGTCCTTTTTTTACATTTTGCTCCTCTTCCCCTGCCCAGTCTGCCCCCAGCGATCACAGTCATACAGCAAAGCTAGCATAAGAGTTCAGGTGAGCATAGCCAGTATTTTTTGGTACAACATCTCATGGCTTAGATTAAGTTCCACTGGAACTGTTGTCCCTTGAGTTGACAAAGGAACACTTATATGCTCTGCCAACTCTATTGAAGAGGTTGTAACTTACAGTAGAGGATCAATAGTAAACAAGTTGGAAGGCAATAGCATCTTAAGCTTCTCCAGCCATTTACTATATGCAGGTGTTTACTCCGATTAAAGACAAACGGATAATTTCTTTGGGGAGTGAGAGGGAGAAGGGCAGCAACATGTTCTTGTCCTCTCAAATTTCAGACAGATGTCTTCCATCGTAGAAGGTCTAGGAAACACAAATATTAACCAATTAATGTTTCGTATTTTAATAGCAGAGCAAGTAATGGGAGTTTTCAAGCTGATGTGCTGGATAAAGGTTTTATTGCAGAGCTGAAATACTTCAGCTGAACCGTCTCTAAAGCAAACACTTTAATTATTTGGGGTTAGAGCAATGAACTGTTTATAGATGGTAACCTTGTGTATATATTTGGGTGTAATAACAAAGAATCATCTTTCCAGGATGTTGTATGTTGGTCTTCTGGACTGTCACAATTTGAAGTTTTCCCTTTTTCTTTTGAGCAGTTTTCAAGTTAATGGCTGTGGGCAATACTGGGTTACTAACGAAATTAATTTCAGTTTCTCATTAGTCTGCATCTTTCTGGATAAGTAAGCAATACATACAGTGCATTGATCATGTAAACTTGTGCAGTGTTCATTGCAGCATGTTATCGTGCCTGTTCTCTGGAGGCCAACTCTCGTTCCACTTGGCAAAAGTTACCTTTTCATTGGTTCTGCTTTTCGTACTTGTCACCTACTGAGTGGACACCGAAGACTTGCCTGTGATTCTGGCAGTCTAATGGCAACCACTGGTGTATAGTCCATGTCTGTCATGTAAGCAGTTGGACTCCTCATGTAAATAGAGGTTGGGAAACAGAACGCCATGGCCTTAAGAAGCTCTTGGTTTGCATCCCTGCCTGAAGGATGCTAGGTTGTGTACACTGTATTTGCTTTCTTCAGTCAAGCCGCTGCGTCCTTAGGAAAGACAGTGGTTGGGGGAAGAGAAAAGTGACATAGATGAGGCTCTTCTTTAGGATCAGGAGGGAGAAAATTGATGACTAGGTGTTGTTTAGCTGGACTGCAGTGGAGGAAGAATGACAGAGTAGCAGGCAGCACAGCACAGCTGAAGTACTAGTCAGAACAATACGCTACCCACGCACCGTACCAGTTTCACAAGCTTCTGTCTGAGAGCCAGGAGGTGGCAAGGGAGGGAAGGATAGGCTGTCTGCTGCTGACAGCAGGAGAGTGTATGGGAATGATGCTGCTTGCAGCCTTCCAACCTCCTGTTTCAGAGGCAAAGGGTGGGA